TGCACTTGCAACTTACCGTCTGACGGCCTTTATTGTCTTCCTTTCCGACGACGACGACGTCTTTTCGTCTTTCGCCGACTCTGTCGAAAAGAGACGTATGTTAGTTAATTAGTTAAATGTTAAACGGTTCGTTTCTCGGTTAGTTAGTTAGTTAGTTAGTTACAGACAAAATAAATTCGCTTTGCTATTTGATTTGCTGGCTGTTTTGTTTGTTTTTTTCTTTGTTTAAAGTAAATGTGTTTCCTTCCGCGAAGGGAAATGGGCCGAACTCGGAGGTAGTGCAATACCGAGACAACCCGTGGCCAGGGCGAAGCAAGCTCCAATCCCATGGCCGATATCCAAAAATCAGTTTAATATAAGAGTCGGGCATTGCCCGACATATCAGATATTAAGCTGATAAGAACAGATACTACACTTGATCTTAGCCAAAAGGCCGAGAAGCGATACAGAAGAAGAGCTTTCGCCATTTTTCACTCTACAAGTTGCATGAGAAACACACGGTTCTATTGTATCTTTTCGCGTAGAAATCATGCAACAAATGAAAAAAATCAAGCAGTACGGATAACGAAGGAATCATCCTTTACTACAATCGTCATGTCAAGCGTTCTTTCTAATCCAATGTACACCTGTTCGTAAAGAAGAACATGTTTGAAAATTCGCGCGTAATGCCGCGAAATGCGATCGTTTCATATGACGTAGGAAGCACGCGATGTCTGTCGCGAACTTGCTGCAGACGTGCTTTCTCATTGTAAAACAAACGCTTTGTGCTTGTGGGCGATAATGATTCGCATTGTATGCAAGTGCTGCAATGTCAACAAGGTCATGCTTCATGAAATCGGCAGACAAGCAGCTCAATGAACGAATTTTACACTACGAGCCGTTAAATGTCAGTGATACATAGAAATAATTACTATAAAAGCTAAACAAACGTACGACTAAGTAAGAAAAACGTTCGCAATGCAATTTCATTACTGTTAACGTCGACGATACATATTATAATTTGTATATTTTCATAATGTATATGCCGTCCGTCAAAATATACACACACGCCGGCCGTTTACGTCGTTGTTAAGTACAAGTAATTTATGTCAAATACAAGTAATTTATTCTTGCTAATAGATGATATAAATTTCTCCTGCATCTCGCTATGCATTTTGGGATAGGTCAGTAAAAATTTGGCAGCATGCAACCTAACCCCGAACGAACAACGAATTTATATATCGTGTTCTATTTTATTTGTTCTTTTCTCCGCTTCTTCCTCCCATCGTGAGAAACGAAGGGGACGAGCGCGAACGCAGGTCCCCACTACCAGAAATTATACGCTCGAGTTACCCACGTTAGGGGTAATCGCAGGAGTCAACCCAGTCGAAGTGCAATGAAAGGGCCTCATCCTGAGAGGACCTCCTAGCTGATCAAGGTGCCTCTCGCGTCAGGTAAGTATGCTCGAACGACGCACGGCGAGCATACTTTGTACGCGAACGTACGCTCGGTGCGACACGGTTGCACCCTCCCTTTACTTTTCACTACTTTTGCACTTGCAACTTACCGTCTGACGGCCTTTATTGTCTTCCTTTCCGACGACGACGACGTCTTTTCGTCTTTCGCCGACTCTGTCGAAAAGAGACGTATGTTAGTTAATTAGTTAAATGTTAAACGGTTCGTTTCTCGGTTAGTTAGTTAGTTAGTTAGTTACAGACAAAATAAATTCGCTTTGCTATTTGATTTGCTGGCTGTTTTGTTTGTTTTTTTTTTTGTTTAAAGTAAATGTGTTTCCCTTCCGCGAAGGGAAATGGGCCGAACTCGGAGGTAGTGCAATACCGAGACAACCCGTGGCCAGGGCGAAGCAAGCTCCAATCCCATGGCCGATATCCAAAAATCAGTTTAATATAAGAGTCGGGCATTGCCCGACATATCAGATATTAAGCTGATAAGAACAGAGTTCTTATCAGTTAATTTATTTAAAATTATGGGCACAGTTACAACAATCAATATGTACAACAATGATTTCATGCAAAAAATACGATAGGAAAGAGAATAAGTATAGTAAAAGGTAAGTATAAGATTAAAACAATATAAGAAAGGTAGAAAATAGAAGGTGATGTGGGTGGTGATGGTTGTAGAAAGGGTGAATTGGGATGATGCGAAAAGGAAGAGGGACCCCCGATATAAATGAACCCAAATATGTACAGCAAAAGACCACTATGGATACAGATATTTACAACTATGTATATTGTTCATATATGTGACAATGTTCAGTTGGATGGCTGCAGCTCATCCATCGTTGGAGCTGCGTCGTCACAGCCTAGGTGCTGTCTGTATATGTTTGTGGATCCGCGGATGGCATCGGTGCAACAAAGTTTTCGGAATAGATTTTTGTACCGGCGAGTCATCCCCATCCTGACACACAGATATTCATTTGGGCGGTACCAGGAACCGAGAGCACCAATAACGAAGGGGATCACTTGGCATTGCCTGCCCGATTCGATGAAGTGGCGCTTGAGGGGCTCATATTTCGTAATTTTCTGCTGAGCAGCCTCGGCCAGCGCGTTTTCATCGTTATCGAACGGACAGGCGACGTCGATGATGAGGACTTCGTTATCCTCTTCAATTATGATATCCGGGCGAAGTCGGAGTCCCGAACCCTGTACGGCGCGGTCTGTTGTGATCTCTCCAAATCTCGTTGCGTTGAGTAGGCGATTGACAAGGAGGTTGTGGCGATCTCGAATTTGCACCATCGACGGGCGGCAGTGGCAGATGACGTGTGGGAGTGTCTCAGGTTGGAGGCAGTGGCGGCATGTGGGTAGAGCGTGTGAGAATCTGCTCTTGTGGGCGTTGAGGGGCAGGACGTTGAGCCTGGCACGATGAATGAACCTCCAGTCTTTAAATCGGATATTGAGGCCATTCATGTGCCAGCTCGAGCCATTACCATAGACGTCGTCCACAAGGCAGCGGGCAACTTTCCCTGGTCCGGAGTGATGTGAGGGTGTCGGCGTGGCGTTGTTGTGATAGGCGATGGAGGAATAGGGAGATCTGCTTAGTTGACTTTGTCAGATTCATCTGCAGAAATGGTGGGTGGATCATTGTCGGTGAAGTGGATGGTGACGTGTTGGCGGCGGCATGCTTTACAACGCGGACCAGAGGGAAGAATGTGATGAGTAAAGTGTTTTGAGGCGGGGTCGTGAGCGGAGAGGTATTTTGTGATGAGGTCTGCGGTGGGGTTGGATTGCGTGGTTTGGCGGACGAATGATCGAAGGTCCTCCCGTGCGATGGTGCGAACATTTGCGTCGTTGGAAGCCAGGATACGGACGGCCTGGACGATGGCTTGGTTGTCGCATTCCACGTCTGGATCCTGCAAGCCCAGACCGCCAGCCTTCTTTGCTGCGAAGAAATAGCTCTGCGTAGCTCGAGTGGGAAGATTGCAGATCTCACGCAGCACCCGGACGAGCAGCGAACGGTATTCACTCAATGATTTTTTCAGAGGATCACCCGCCCGGAGTGCATACGTGAGGCAAGGTTGCACGAACGTCCGAATAGCATCCAGTTTCTGCCAAGGTGCTAGAAGTGAGTTGTTGATAGCGTGTAAGTCATGGATGAGGCGTGGGATGATGGATGGGATGTCGTCGATGTTGTGGATCACACCTATCGGCACCCCTAAATAACGATACGATTGTTCGTTTTCGAGAGCCGGTAGGTGATCACCGTGAAGATGAAAGTCGTGGCGGTCGGTCCAGAGGCGTCGTCTACCGTCGGACGTGAGATAGAGGGTGGCACACTTGTCTGGTCGGAATTCGAATCCTAGCACCGAGGCAGAGTCAGCAGCAGCGTCCAGAAGCAGCTGGAGCGTCTTCGGAGTCCGCGCCACGAGAACGAGATCGTCAGCGTACGCAAGGCAGGAGACAGTTCGATTTTGGAATTTGCACACCCCAGCCCTTTGCGTCTGCGCCCTGTCCTTGACCGAGCGAAGGATTAGCTCGAGACAGAGGTTGAACACAATAGGGCTGAGGGGGCATCCTTGTTTCACGCCAGCATGGACAGGGATGGATTCGGTTCTTCCGCCAGGTGTGAGGATGGTTGTGGATGCACCAGCATAAGCGTTCATGATGAGTGCAACCATGTCTGGAGGAACACCAACGTGCAGAAGGGACGAGCGGATGACCTGGTGCGACACACTGCCGGCGCACGGAGATCAAGCCAGCGATGCACAATTTCTGCTTTCGGGCGGGCATCGGCAACAATTGACTTGAGCATGAAAGTGTGTTCGTAACAACCTTCGAGGGTCTAGCACTCTTTGCTCGTCCGAGAGGATCCCGTGTCGATGCTCCACCTTGTTAGCGCTTTGGCGAGCACTCCCATGAACAGCTTATACATGGTTGACATGAGGGCGATGGGGCGGAAGTTGGTGATGTCGCTGTCATCACCCTTTTTGTAGATGAGGATGGTGACAGCTTCTTTCCACGGTTGTGGCACGTCGCGTTCATGGTGGCAACGGGTGAATATGAGATGGAGGATGGCGGCGGTGGGATCAACTTTCTTGAGGTGTGAGTATTCGCATTTGTCCATGCCAGGTGCTGTGTTGACTGATGAGCTGAGTTTTGCTGCTATTTCTGCTTGACGGTTCGGCATATCCTGTCTGATATTGGATCGTCACGCGCGGTGGGGTGAATTTTGGAGGTGCTTTGAGGATGGTGGTGTTAGTATGTTTTTCCTCGAAGGATGTTGTGAAGTGGTGCTCGGCGTCATCGATGGTGCCAGTGAAGATGGTATTGTTATTCTCCAGGATCTTACGTGCCGCTCGTTTTTTGGAGTGGTAGTATAGACCCTGGAGGCGTCGGGCTTCGGTGGGGTCGAATGATTGGATGTGACGCCCTTGTGGTGGGCGATGTGAGGAGGTGGGTTGGCGGTCGGTTGGCTTTGGTTTGTGGCGAGAGTTGGATGACCTGTTGAGATGTATGGCAAGTTCGCGGGCAGCGGTGGCGAAGTCAGTGCAGTGTTGGGTGAAGTCAGCCCAGGAGGAGTCTTGTGAATGTAGACCGCCATTTCTCTGAAGAGGAGAAGGGTGGTCTGGTCGTCAGTGGATGGAGGTTGTTCTTCGTTGTAGAAGCCATCAACACCATCTTCATCATCAGAGGGGTGCCTGGGGTCGTGTCGGGTGGTGGAATACGGTCCGGCTCACGTGGGCCGAGGTTGGTGCGACGGGATGTTATCGTCGGCAAGTCGGCCAGGTTGGATGTTGATGAAGAAGTTGGTGTTGGTGGGCTAAGTGGTTCGGTGGGTGGTGGGGTGAGTGATACGGCGGGTGGTGGGAGGGGGTCGCAGGATGAGTTGTGTGAGGTTCGTCGTTGGCGGTAGTGTGGGTTAGTCTGCTTGGAAATTGGGATGGGCGGTGCGATGTCTTGCGTGCGGTGATCATGGCTGTGTTCGGTGGGTTGAAATGTGGAGGGAGGTTGAGGGCTACTGGAGGTATTACCCCGAATCTCCATGAGGCGTTGGAGAGCAGTAGCTGCGCATTTGTCCCCCAGAGAGGAGCCGGGTGAAGTCCCTGTGCTGCAGGTGGATGGTGACAGCAAGTTATCTTCACCGGCCACTACACCTGGGGTGTTTGTAGATATGTCAGCGGCAGGTGATGGTGGAGATGGTGGAATGTCCTCTGCGACGAGTGCACGTAGGTGGGAGATTTGGGTGTTGATGGATGCGAGAAGTGATTTGCGTTGGTCATTGGTTGGGTGGTGTGTGATGCCATGGATGAGGGAACGTGGGGTGAAGTTGTCGGTGGGGTCTTCTGGAGTAGGTTCGGGTTCATCCAGGGTTAGTGGTGGTGATGAATTGGGGCTGGGATGGTACAGTGAGAGGGCGTCGTCCGGGATGGGTGGAGTAGTGTGGCCAGGAGTTGGTTGGATGTTGTCAGGTGGTGCCAACTGCGAGGCGTCTTGCGTGGAGAGGCTGTGTTCTGGGGATGGGGCAGAAAACAGCGGCGGCGATGAGAGTGGTGGGGTGAATGTTGATGGGATTGAGGCGGTGGAGGGGGCAGGCGTGGGGGATGGGTCAGCTTGGGATAAGGTTTGTTGGTTGGTGGGAGTGGGTGTTCTTGAGTGGGTCGGTGGTGAGCTTTGGTTCAGGGGGACAGGTTCAAGGGGGCCAGGTGTGAAGAGAGGAGTGGAGGAAGTAGGTTGTGGCGGGGTGGCTCTGTGGAGGTAGCCATGGATTGTAGGAAGAGGATTGGGGTGTGGGTGGAAGTGAGTTTTGAGAGTTGTGGGGGAGGGTGGAAAACAGCCCATGGGGCAACAGAGGTCTTGGGCATGGACTGTGGTGGAGTATGTGCTTGATGGTGAGGTGCTGTAGGTGGAATTCTCGGTGGTGAGAGTAGTAGTCTCTGGGTGATTGGATCGATGGTAGGTTGAGGTGGAGTGAAAGGCGATTGTTGCTTGTGGGAGTGTCGATGAGCTTGCATGTGTTGGTGGGATTGGGGTCAATGTATGTTGCAAAGACCGCAGAGGTGGGAGACTACTAACTCATGTTGAGGGTGGTTCTTCGAAAAATGTGTTGCCAGGTTACGTATACCAGCAACTTGTCTGCTGACATACGTACAACCTCGGTATGGGCAGCGGATGTCTTGTGGATGGATGTCGACACGATACGTGGCTTTGCAGCGTTGGGCTGTCGTCATATTTGGGAGTCCCATGGTGAGCGGTACGCCAGTGTTCTGCCAGTGGCCCACGGGTCTTGAACCATTTCATGCAATATACACATGTGGGCATTTTGGGGCCCACACGGGGAAGAAATGGACAACAAAACACAAAATTTTATTATTACCGCTAAAATGCGCGTACGCGAGCGCAAAATGCAAGTAAGGCAGTTCGAATGAATATATAAGAAACGCGTCGAAATGGCAGAAAAATTGTTAGGAGTGCACAGAATGTTTCAATGTAATCGCTGCACGAATAATAATAGTTTAGTGTTTTAAATTAACGCACGTAGAATTTGGCGCGATAAAATTGGCGCGTAGATAGAATGGCGCGTAGATAGAATTGGCGCGATAAAATTGGCGCGAGATAAAATTGGCGCGAGATAAATTGGCGCAGACAAAATTGGCGCACGGACAAAATTGGCGCGTAGACGAAATTGGCACGCGGCGAAAAGTGATGCACGTGGATGTCTTGGGTAATTAGACCCTCGCAGTGTAATCGATAAAAATAGTGCGGGATTAGTAGAATATCGCACTTAAAACGTTCAAAATGGCCCGATGAATATGTTAGGGCTGTTAATATAGCCTTCTCAGAAGGAAAAAGTAGTAGTAGAGGCGCGAGAAATGTCAAACACAGCGAATTAATTCTGTGGAGTGTGAGAGCACGTGTAATGTTAATGCGTTCGCAAACTTCGAGGTGACGCGGAAGTTTAAGTTGCGATGAAAAGCCCTCAATATAAACGCCAAAAAAAAATGTTCGAATAATGATGTGTGTGAGCTAGAAGGATAAAAATGTTGCAAAAACGCTGAGATTGTCGTAAATAAGCCAACGTAGTAATGGCTTTATGAAGCAATCGCGTAGTCCTTCGGCCACGTGGCGGGGTGTGAGAAACACAATCTCAGCTAGCAAATTGTCTTAAAAATTGATCCAATCGGCCCAAAAGAGGGTAAAAGACGTTAATAGAGCCCTCTTCACCGAGAATATAGCGCAAATTTGTCAATAAATTGTTTCTTTGGCGTGTAGAAAGACTCAAAATGAATGTGCTTTCGCGGGCTTCGAAATGACGCGGAAGTTTAGAGCCGTAGAGATCTTTCAAAGTAAACGCCAGAAATTCTTCAAAAAATCGTCTAAACGATGTAGAATATAGCCCAATGCTAGTATAGAAGGGCAGCAATGTTCCAAGATAAAATGTTCGGCGTATGTAAATCCGCGTAATGTAAATTATAGCGTAATTATAACAGCGCGATATTTAAAGATAACGAAGGTTTAACCACGCGGTGAGGAGTGTTAATACAAAACTCCACCAGAAAAGACGATGAAAATCGTTCAAAAAATTGTTCCTTCGTTCGTGGATTGCCCACGCTCAAAGTAGGATGAAAAGGCAAGACAGCTGTTCTTAAAAGAACAAGTAAATGACGCGCGAATGCGACTAAAATACGGTGATATGCTTCGTTAGCACGAGGAAGTTTATACGGCCTCGCTGTTAATATAAGTTTAAAACGAGCTACAAGGACGGGGCTGAGATCCCTCTCAGAATAAAGAATAAATAAGCGGGGAGAGTATCCTAGCTTTAAATATAGTAGTGAGTAGCCAAACACAATCGAAAAAGCCGTGTGCGAGCGTATATCGATCGACAGTAGAACAAGCGCAAATAACGTTGAGTTTCGCCGTCGAATCAAGAAAATAGTGTTATAAAAACTCACGAACAGGTCGAATATAACGTTTCGTAGAGTTAAAAGAGCAAAGCGACGTAACGTAGCCAAGGATTGAGACGGATTGACGTGTAGAGCAACAGCGTTCCCGAAACAACAGCAAACGGCGAAGGTTCGTCTTCGTCTTGAGGTCCAAGGGTCGTCCAAAAATCGTGTCCAATAACAGTCCAAACCAAGAGATACAGAAGATCCAATCCAAATGTTCCACTAGGAGATCAGCAGAAGAGAGTTAGATTACTAAATTCAAATCACTGACCTTAACGAGCGTAGTCCAATGAGCGTAATCCAATTAGCGTTCCAATTAGCGATCAAATTACCAGTTCCCAAAGTGATCAAGTATAGCGTTACCAATTAAGCTGATAAGAACAGATACTACACTTGATCTTAGCCAAAAGGCCGAGAAGCGATACAGAAGAAGAGCTTTCGCCATTTTTCACTCTACAAGTTGCATGAGAAACACACGGTTCTATTGTATCTTTTCGCGTAGAAATCATGCAACAAATGAAAAATCAAGCAGTACGGATAACGAAGGAATCATCCTTTACTACAATCGTCATGTCAAGCGTTCTTTCTAATCCAATGTACACCTGTTCGTAAAGAAGAACATGTTTGAAAATTCGCGCGTAATGCCGCGAAATGCGATCGTTTCATATGACGTAGGAAGCACGCGATGTCTGTCGCGAACTTGCTGCAGACGTGCTTTCTCATTGTAAAACAAACGCTTTGTGCTTGTGGGCGATAATGATTCGCATTGTATGCAAGTGCTGCAATGTCAACAAGGTCATGCTTCATGAAATCGGCAGACAAGCAGCTCAATGAACGAATTTTACACTACGAGCCGTTAAATGTCAGTGATACATAGAAATAATTACTATAAAAGCTAAACAAACGTACGACTAAGTAAGAAAAACGTTCGCAATGCAATTTCATTACTGTTAACGTCGACGATACATATTATAATTTGTATATTTTCATAATGTATATGCCGTCCGTCAAAATATACACACACGCCGGCCGTTTACGTCGTTGTTAAGTACAAGTAATTTATGTCAAATACAAGTAATTTATTCTTGCTAATAGATGATATAAATTTCTCCTGCATCTCGCTATGCATTTTGGGATAGGTCAGTAAAAATTTGGCAGCATGCAACCTAACCCCGAACGAACAACGAATTTATATATCGTGTTCTATTTTATTTGTTCTTTTCTCCGCTTCTTCCTCCCATCGTGAGAAACGAAGGGGACGAGCGCGAACGCAGGTCCCCACTACCAGAAATTATACGCTCGAGTTACCCACGTTAGGGGTAATCGCAGGAGTCAACCCAGTCGAAGTGCAATGAAAGGGCCTCATCCTGAGAGGACCTCCTAGCTGATCAAGGTGCCTCTCGCGTCAGGTAAGTATGCTCGAACGACGCACGGCGAGCATACTTTGTACGCGAACGTACGCTCGGTGCGACACGGTTGCACCCTCCCTTTACTTTTCACTACTTTTGCACTTGCAACTTACCGTCTGACGGCCTTTATTGTCTTCCTTTCCGACGACGACGACGTCTTTTCGTCTTTCGCCGACTCTGTCGAAAAGAGACGTATGTTAGTTAATTAGTTAAATGTTAAACGGTTCGTTTCTCGGTTAGTTAGTTAGTTAGTTAGTTACAGACAAAATAAATTCGCTTTGCTATTTGATTTGCTGGCTGTTTTGTTTGTTTTTTTTTTCTTTTGTTTAAAGTAAATGTGTTTCCCTTCCGCGAAGGGAAATGGGCCGAACTCGGAGGTAGTGCAATACCGAGACAACCCGTGGCCAGGGCGAAGCAAGCTCCAATCCCATGGCCGATATCCAAAAATCAGTTTAATATAAGAGTCGGGCATTGCCCGACATATCAGATATTAAGCTGATAAGAACAGAGTTCTTATCAGTTAGTTTATTTAAGATTATGGGCACAGTTACAACAATCAGTATGTACAGCAATGATTTCATGCAAAATTACGAAAGTATAGTAAATAATAAGTATAAGATTAGAACAATATAAAAGGGGTAAAGGTAGAAGGTGATGTGGGTGGTGATGGTGGTTGAGAGGGTGAATTGGGATGATGGGAAACAGAATGGGGACCCCCGATAAGAATGAACCCAAATATGTACAATTTCAAACTACAGACAACTATGGTTACAAATATGTTCAACTATATACATTGTTCATAGGCTTTGTGATTTTATTCAGCCGGATGTTTGCAGCTCATCCATCGTTGGGGCTGCATCGTCACAGCCTAGGTGCTGTCGATAAATGTTTGTGGATCCACGGATGGCATCGGTACAGCAAAGTTTCCTGAATAAATTTTTGTACCGGCGTGTCATCCCCATCCTGACACACAAATATTCGTTTGGGCGGTACCAGGAGCCGAGGGCACCAACAACGAAAGGGACCACTTGGCATTGCCTGCCCGATTCGATGAAGTGGCGCTTGAGGGGCTCATATTTTGTAATTTTCTGTTGAGCAGCCTCGGCTAGCGCATTTTCATCGTTGTCGAACGGACAGGCGACGTCGATGATAAGGACTTCGTTGTCCTCTTCGATGATGATGTCCGGGCGAAGTCTGAGTCCCGAACCCTGTACGGCACGGTCCGTGGTGATTTCTCCAAATCTTGTGGCGTTGAGAAGGCGAGCGACAAGGAGATTGTGGCGGTCCCGAATTTGTACCATCGACGGGCGGCAGTGGCAGATGACGTGAGGGAGTGTCTCGGGTTGGAGGCAGTGGCGGCATGTGGGTAGAGCGTGTGAGAATCTGCTCTTGTGGGCGTTGAGGGGCAGGACGTTGAGTCTGGCACGATGAATGAACCTCCAGTCTTTAAATCGGATATTGAGGCCATTCATGTGCCAGCTCGAGCCATTACCATAGACGTCGTCCACAAGGCAGCGGGCAACTTTCCCCTGGTCCGGGAGTGATGTGAGGGTGTCGGCGTGGCGTTGTTGCGATAGGCGGTGGAGGAATAGGGAGATCTGCTTCGAGTTGACTTTGTCAGATTCATCTGCAGAAATGGTGGGTGGATCATTGTCGGTGAAGTGGATGGTGACGTGTTGACGGCGGCATGCTTTACGAACGCGGGACCAGAGGGAAGAATGTGATGAGTAATGAAGTGTTCTGAGGCGGGGGTCGTCGTGAGCGGAGAGGTACTTTGTGATGAGGTCTGCGGTGGGGTTAGATTGCGTGGTTTGGCGGACGAATGAGCGTAGGTCTTCCCGTGCGATGGTGGCGACATTGGCGTCGTTGGAGGCCAGAATGCGGACGGCCTGAACAATGGCTTGGTGGTCGCATTCCACGTCCGGGTCTTGTAGGCCCAAACCGCCCTTCTTTGCAGCGAAGAAATAACTTTGCGCACGAGTTGGCAGATTGCAAATCTCACGCAGCACCCGGACGAGCAGCGAACGGTATTCACTCAATGATTTTTTCAGAGGATCACCCGCCCGGAGTGCATACGTGAGGCATGGCTGCACAAACGTCCGAATAGCATCCAGCTTCTGCCAAGGTGCTAGGAGTGAGTTGTTGATGGCGTGGAGGTCGTGGATGAGTCGTGGGATTATGGATGGAATGTCGTCGATGTTGTGGATCACACCTATCGGCACCCCCAGATAACGATACGACTGTTCGTTTTCGAGAGCCGGTAGGTGATCACCGTGGAGATGGAAGTCGTGGCGATCGGTCCAGAGGCGTCGTCTACCGTCAGACGTGAGGAAGAGGGTGGCACACTTGTCTGGTCGGAATTCGAATCCTAGCACCGAGGCAGAATCAGCAGCAGTATCCAAAAGCAGCTGGAGGGTTTTCGGAGTTCGCGCCATGAAGACAAGGTCGTCAGATGCCAGGCAGGAGACAGTTCTGTTCTGGAATTTGCACCCCCAGCTCTCTGTGTCCGAGCCCTTTCCTTAACCGGCGCAGGATGAGCTCCAAGCAGAGGTTGAACACAATAGGGCTGAGGGGGCATCCTTGTTTCACGCCAGCATGGACAGGGATGGATGAGGTTCTTCCACCAGGTGTGAGGATGGTTGTGGATGCACCAGCATAAGCATTCATGATGAGTGCAACCATGTCTGGAGGAACACCAACGTGCAGAAGGGACGAGCGGATGACCTGGTGCGACACACTGCCGGCGCACGAAGATCAAGCCAGGCGATGCACAGTTTCTGCTTTCGGCGGCGCCGGCAACTAATGACTTCAGCATGAAAGTGTGTTCGTAACAGCCTTCAGAGGGTCTAGCACTCTTTTGCTCGTCCGAGAGGATCCCCGTGTCGATGCTCCACCTTGTTAAGCGTTTGGCGAGCACTCCCATGAACAGCTTATACATGGTGGACATGAGGGCGATGGGCGGAAGTTGGTGATGTCGCTGTCATCACCCTTTGTAGATGAGGATGGTGACAGCTTCTTTCCACGGTTGTGGCACGTCGCTTCATGATGACATCGGGTGAATATGAGGTGGAGGATGGCGGGTGGGATCAACCTTCTTGAGGTGTGAGTATTCTGCATTTGTCCATGCCAGGTGCTGTGTTGACTGACGAGCTAAGTTTTGCTGCAATTTCAGCCTGACGGAGTTCGGCGAGATCCTGTGATATTGGGTCGTCGCGGTGGGGTGAATTTTCGGAGGTGTTCTTTGAGGATGGTGGTGTTCGTGTGTTTTCCTCAAAGGATGTTGTGAAGTGTAGTTCGGCATCATCAATGGTGCCAGTGAAAATGGTGTTGTTGTTCTCCAGGATCTTACGCCGCTTTTTGGAATGGTAGTAGAGACCCTGGAGACGCGGGCTTCGGTGGGGTCGAAGGATTTGATGTAGCGCCTTGTGGTGGACGGTGTGAGGTGGTGGGTTTGGTCGGTTGGTTTGGCTTGCGGGATGTGGATGATCTGTTGAGGTGGATGGCGAGTTCCCGAGCAGCCGTGTGGTCGGGTGCAGTGTTGTGTGAAGTCAGCCCAAGAGGAGTCCTGTGAGAATGTAGACCGCCATTTCTCTCTGAAGAGGAGAAGGGTGGTCTGGTCGTCGGTGGATGGAGGTTGTTCTTCGTCATTGTAGAAGCCATCAACACCATCTTCATCATCAGAGGGGGGTGCCTGGGGTCGTGTGACGGGTGATGGGACACGGTCCGCTCACGGTGCCCGAGGTTGGTGCGACGGGATGTTATCGTCGGCTAAGTCGGCCAGGTTGGATGTTGATGAAGAAGTTGGTGTGGTGGGCTAAGTGGTTCAGTGGGTGGTGGGCTAAGTGATACGGTGGGTGGTGGGAGGGTGCAGGATGAGTTATGTGAGGTTCGTCGTTGGTGGTGTGGGTTGGTCTGCTTGGAAATGGGATGGTGCAATGTCTTGCGTGCGGTGATCGTGGCTGTGTTCGTGGGTTGAGATGTGGAGGGAGATTGAGGGCTACTGGAGGTACTACCCAATCTCCATGAGGCGTTGAGAGCAGTAGCTGCACATTTGTCCCCAGAGGGAGCCGGATGAAGTCTCCATGCTGCAGGTGGATGGTGACAGCGAGAACTTCACCGCCCTACACTTGAGGTGCTCGTAGTGATGTCAGCGGATGATGGTGGAGAATGTGGATTGTCTCTGCGGCGAGTGCACGTGGGTGGGAAATTTGGGTGTTGATGGTGCGAGTATGGATTTGCGTTGGTCGTTGGTTGGGTGTGATGCCATGGATGAGGGAACGTGGGGTGAAGTTGTCGGTGGGATCTTCTGGAGTAGGGTCGGGTTCATCCAGGGTTAGCGGTGGTGATGAATGGGGCTGGGATGGTACAGTGAGAGGCGTCCGGGATGGGTGGAGTAGTGTGGCCAGGAGTTGGTTGGATGTTGTCAGATGGTGGCGTCTGTGAGGCGTCTTGCGTGGAGAGGCTGTGTTCTGGGGATGGGGCAGAAAACAGCGGTGGCGATGAGAGTGGTGGGGTGAATATTGATGGGATTGAGTTGGTGGAGGGGACAGGCGTGGGGGATGGGTCAGCAGAGATGAGGTGTGTTGGTTGGTGGGAGTGGGTGTTCTTGAGTGGGTCGGTGGTGAGTTTGATCAATCCAGAATGGTTGGACTTGTGAATCAGGAATGGGGCTGCCAGGTGTGAGAGAGGCGGTAGTGGAGGAAGTAGGAGTGGTTGTTCTCAGGCTTGGTTGGTGGCTCTGCAGGTGGGAAGGTGGTCTTCCTCACTAGCCATTACCAGCATTGACAGTAGTACGTGAGGAGAGGGATTGATTGGGGTGTGTGGTGTTGAAGTGAGTTTGAGAGTTGTGGGGTCCGAGCCTTGCAGCCTTCCATGGGGCAACAGAGGTCTTGTTGATTGGCATGGCATGACTGTGGTGGAGTATGTGCTTGATGGTGAGGTGCGGCTGTCGTGGAGGTGGAATTCTCGGCGGTGAGGTGGAGAGTAGTCTCTGGGTGATTGGATCGATGGTAGGTTGAGGTGGAGTGAATGGCGATTGCTGCTTGTGGGAGTGACGATGAGCTTGCATGTTGGTGGGATTCGCTGGGATCAATGTATGTATTGCAGAGACCGCAGAGGTGGGAGACTACTAGCTCATGTTGAGGGTGGTTCCTCGAAAATGGGGTTGCCAGGTTACGTATACCAGCAACTTGTCTGCTGACACATACAACCTCGGTATGGGCAGCGGATGTCTTGTGGATGGATATCGACACGATACGTGGCTTTGCAGCGTTGGGCTGGAACGTCGTCATACTTGGGAGTCCCATGATGAGCGGTACGCCAGTGTTCTGCCAATGGCCCACGGGTCTTGAACCATTTCATGCAATATACACATGTGGGCATTTTGGGGCCCACACGGGAGAAGAAATGGACAACCAAACACAAAAATTCTTATTATTACCACTAAAAATGCGCGTACGCGAGCGCAAAGTGATAAGTAAGGCAGTTCCGAATGAATGTATATCCGAACACGGTGAAATGGCAGAGAAAATTGTAGGAGTGCACACAGAATGTTTCAATGTAATCGGCTGCACGAGTAATAATAGATTAGTGTTTTTAAATTAACGCACGTGGAGAATTTGGCGCGTAGATAGAATTGGCGCGTAGATAGAGTTGGCGCGTAAATAAGATTGGCGCGCAGATAAAATTGGCGCGCAGATAAAATTGGCGCGCAGACAAAATTGGCGCACGGACAAAATTGGCGCGTAGACGAAATTGGCACGCGGCGAAAAGTTGATGCACGTGGGATGTCTTTGGGTAATTAGACCCCTCGCAGTGTAATCGATAAAAATAGTGCGGGATTAGTAGAATATCGCACTTAAAACGTTCAATTGGCCCGATGAATATGTTAGGGCTGTTAATATAGCCTTTCAGAAGGAAAAGTAGTAGAGGCGCGAAATGTCAAACACAGCAATTAATTCTGTGGAGTGTAAGAGCACGTGTAATGTTAATGCGTTCGCAAACTTCGAGGTGACGCGGAAGTTTAAGTTGCGATGAAAAGCCCTCAATATAAACGCCAAAAAAATGTTCGAACAATGATGTGTGAGCTAGAAGGATAAAAATGTTCCAAAACGCTGAGATTGTCGTAAATAAACCAACGTAGTAGTGGCTTTATGAAGCAATTGCGTAGTCCTTCGGCCACGTGGCGGGGTGTGAGAAACACAATCTCAGCTAGCAAATTGTCTTAAAAATTGATCCAATCTGTCCAAAAGAGGGTAAAAGACGTTAATAGAGCCCTCTTCACCGAGAGTATAGCGCAAATTTGTCAATAAATTGTTTCTTTGGCGTGTAGAAAGACTCAGAATGAATATGCTTTCGCAGGCTTCGAAATGACGCGGAAGTTTAGAGCCGTAGAGATCTTTCAAAGTAAACGCCAGAAATTGTTCAAAAAATCGTCTAAACGATGTAGAATATAGTCCAGTGCTAGTATAGAAGGGTAGCAATGTTTCAAGATAATATATTCGGCGTATGTAAATCTGCGTAATGCAAATTATAGCGGAATTATAGCAGCGCGATAGTCAGAGATAGCGAAGGTTTAACCACGCGGTGGGGTGTGTTAATCACAAAACTCTACCAGAAAAGACGATGAAAATCGTTCAAAATTGTTCCTTCGTTCGTGAAATTGCCCACGTTCGATGTAGGATAGTCAGACGATGCAGCTGTTCTTAAAAGAACAAGTAAATGACGCGCGAATGCGACGAAACTACGGTGCGATGCTTCGTTAGTACGAGGAAGATTATACGGCCTCGCTGACAATAAAATTTTAAGACGCTACAAGGACGGGGCTGAGATCCCTCTCAGAATAAAGAATAAATAAGCGGGGAGAGTATCCTAGCTTTAAATATAGTAGTGAGTAGCCAAACACAGTCGAAAAAGCCGTGTGCGAGCGTATATCGATCGACAGTAGAACAAGCGCAAATAGCGTTGAGTTTCGCCGTCGAATCAAGAAAATAGTGTTATAAAAACTCACGAACAGGTCGAATATAACGTTTCGTAGAGTTAAAAGAGCAAAGCGACGTAACGTAGCCAAGGATTGAGACGGATTGACGTGTAGAGCAACAGCGTTCCCGAAACAACAGCAAACGGCGAAGGTTCGTCTTCGTCTTGAGGTCCAAGGGTCGTCCAAAAATCGTGTCCAATAACAGTCCAAACCAAGAGATACAGAAGATCCAATCCAAATGTTCCACTAGGAGATCAGCAGAAGAGAGTTAGATTACTAAATTCAAATCACTGACCTTAACGAGCGTAGTCCAATGAGCGTAATCCAATTAGCGTTCCAATTAGCGATCAATTACCAGTTCCCAAAGTGATCAAGTATAGCGTTACCAATTAAGCTGATAAGAACAGATACTACACTTGATCTTAGCCAAAAGGCCGAGAAGCGATACAGAAGAAG